TCACACTGCCCCTGCCAGCGAGGCAGCTTGGGGTCCCGACCCCTGCCAGGAGCCCTCCTTCCCAGGGTCTCTCAGAGGTGCAGGGTCAGGGGAAGAGAGACGTTGGCGTTTTTGTGGCTTCATTCACTTACTTTGCTGTTTGGGAAGATTCTTAAGTTTCAGAAAGTACCTCTGGCCCCAACGTCTGAGAGTCCCTGCACTAGAAATGGGAGGAGGAGGATCCACCCACCCAGTTCCAGTCAGAGCAAGTGGCCAGAAACAGGGACACGGAGTCAGGGACCCTCACGGTAGAACTGGAACCTGTTCTCTGCCTTCCCCAGTAACTGCAAAGCACAGTGGGGGAACCGGCTCTGACCTGGCTGGCGATGGAGGGTGGCTGGGCTTCTGAGGTGGCAGTAGACCCTGACCTCCAGCCTTGGGCCCCTCCCACCGCTTTCCTGGGGAAAGCTCCCAGAAGGAGGCTCCAAGCATGCCTCAGGCTGCCGGCAGCAGAGGCCAGCGAGGCCTGCCGCCCCCCTCGAGGCGCCTGGCTTTCAGGCCCAGGGCTTACGGAGGCTCAGGAAAAGGTGGCTGAGCTTCCACAGATGCCCACGGAGTCAGAGGAACCCTGGAAACTGGGAGGACGCGGCTCCCTCCTGTGCTTGACACGGCAGAGGATGTGATTTGTAAGTCCCTCGATTCTCATCAGAGAATTCCCTCGGCAGAGGCCAGGAACCTCGGAGAAACCGCCACCCCACGTCTCAGATCCCCTCTGGGCCTGCTGTGTTCTGGGCACCCCTGGGCACCCCTGGGCACCGGGAAGGTCAAGAAACTACAGACACAGGTCAGAGGGCTCCAGTGAACCTTGCAGGCAGGACTTGAAGGGGTAGGGCCAGCACAGTAGTGAGGACATCTGAACAAGGGGCACAGGCCAAGTCTGAGACTGGCGCCCGGCCCTCCACAGCCCTCTCCTCTCTGCTTTGTGCAAGTTTCAAACTTCAAGAAAAGCCACGAGGGAAGGAGGCGAGGCCAGTAGGTGCAGCCTTGCCTGAGGGTGCTGGCCTGTCTGTGGGTGGCTCTGAAGATCTAGCACTTGAGGACAAGGTGGGCCTGACGCCTGGGCACTGGTGATGGTGGTCAGATGGCCAGTGCCTTCCCACAGCCCACTCCCCCAGATCCAGCTACAAAGGGTGCAGGGAGCTGCAGAGGGTCCAGGGGTCAGCAGAGCCCACAAGGAGCCCCCCCCCACAGAGATGGGAAAGCAGAAATCTGCCCACACCTTCCATCTGCACAGTCACCTGGGGGCACAGCCCAGGCTGGCCCAGCAAATGTGGGGGACAGACGGATACTGCCCACTGGCCCTGAGGCCACCCCCTGGCTCTGCTCCACGTCAGACCCAAGATCCCTCCCGCCAGCTCCTGCAGGACCCTGTGGTAGGCCTCAGCCCCCACAGGCTGTTCTCTCCTGCTCCCTGAAGGGGTCACAGACCTGGCAGGACTGGCCCAGGGAGAGCCAGCACCCAGGGCTCAGCACTCCCTCCAGGAAGAGAAAAGCCCAACTTCTGGTGAGACAAGAATGGGCCCACCTGGCTCTACTGCCAGCCCAGGGGGAACCCACCTGGAGAAGCTTGGTGCTGACTTTTCTGGATGCTTAACTTGGAAAATAAATGTCTTATTTTTTTTTATTAGGTTCTGTCTCAGTGACAAGTGACCAGACAAGGAAGAATGAGGAACAGTCCTGATCCAGCAGGTGGGCCATGAGGCCAGGGTAGCTCTGTTCCAGCCTGGGGGCCTGGCCCCGAGAAGCTGCCCACCACCTACAGACCCCAGCCTAAGCCACCCGGGGACAGTCTCAGGCGCTGTGCAAGAGTGAATGTGGGGACTTCAGCTCCTTGTTACTCCAAGGGCCTCCTGCATACCCAGGCTGCACAGGGCCACCGTTCAGTGGGCACTCACCTCCAACAGCAGCCGTCCCTCCTGCACGGGGGACCCTCTGTGTGGACCATCTCCAGGTGAGGAGGCCCCGGCCGACTGCACGTGTGTCTCCTGCACGGCTGTCAGAGAAGAGCAGACAGTGAGCCCTTCGTGAGACCCCAGGCCAGCTGTGGATCCTCTTAAGCCACACTTTTCTGGTTTCCCCAGCATTCACCCCATGGTTCTTGCTGGACATCCAGTCTGGGCTGGGCTGCCACCCTGTACAGGACACACAGAGTTGTCCAGCAGCTCTGGAAAGCCCTACAGTTCTGTGGGGTGGGGGCAGCAGGAACAGGGACCAGGCCCCAGGCAGCATGGGGGACAGAGCCCAGATGGGAAGTGGTCCCTCAGGACCACCTGCCAGCTCTGCTCTCCAGAAGCTGCTCTCAGTCTGCCCTGACTCCAGCACCCTGGATGAAGTCCAGTGTCTGCTACGTCCTGTCCACCACCCAGTTCACAGGGTCCTCACAGCTCCTTCTTGAGACTCAAGCCTTGGTAGACCCCAACATGGCCCCGCCCATGCCCCTCCCAGGCTGGGCAAAGCCCCTTTGTCCCCCTGTGCCCTGCATATTCTCTCTTCCCCTCCCCTGGCATGAGCAGGACCGAGACACAGGCCAGACAAGACATGGTGGGAAAGGAAGCCCGAGGATGGGGCCTGGGGGGGTGGAAGAGCAGTCTGGGGGTGCCCCTATCGCTTTGGGGTGAGGTCTGAGGGGACTCAGACTCCTTCACAGCCCTGTTGACAAGTGCTCATCTTGGGACACTGCTCTGGCCTCTAATTCCACAGCCAGCATCTTCGCTGCCATCAGGAGTCTCCGCCTGGTTTCTGAGGGGCCAGAGGGGCCCAGTAAGGAGCTGGCTCAGGTGCTCAGAGGGTGGGTTGCAGGTGGCTACCACTTTGGGCCTTGTAGAAAGGCTGGGGCAGGCAGCAGCCTCCTTCGCCCGCCCCTCAGACTTGAGGAGGAGAGCTGTGGCCCCAGGCACTTGTTCTGATCTTAAGATAAAATAAACTGGTAACATGGGCACCTCAATCATGCTCCTTTTCCAAAAGGGCAACTGGGGAATCTTCCATCTGGGGACTGGTCCTGGGGAGGACTGCTTCATCTAGTGCCACTCTCATCAGATCTGTCCCCTTTCGCCTGTCAGGGACATCACAGAGCTCCGATTCCAAAGCAGCACCCCGAAGCCCCTTGTTCCTGCATGGAGCCAGGTTCCCATGAAGGTGGGCTGCTGGCTGACTCCACCCCCACTACCCAGGGAGCCCAGCTCAAACAAAAACCAGCCAGCACGGGACCGCACCTTCGGAAGAGACCCACTGCCTGTCCACAGCCCACCTTGTTCTGGAGAGGCTGCAGTGGGCTATGCTGCTGCTAAGAAATAAAAGTGGTGCTTCAATGAAGCTTGCCTCGCCTCCCACTCAGGCTGGGCTGGGCTTCTCCCCCATTCTGGAACAAGTGGGGTCCTGCCACTTGCCCACGGTGAGGTTCAGGCTACAGACATTCAGTGCCATGCCTCCCACTCCCAGGTGATTCCCCCTAGACCTCTGTCCCATGTCCATGTGGAACACACTGACCATCTCCCTTGGGTTCTCAGCACTCTGGTGTCCAGGGACCAGCACATGGGCATGCTCTGAGCTAGGTAGAAGCACAGGCTCCAGCCCCAGGCCCACCTGCACACTCTGGGGTCCAGATGCTGTTTGACAGGCCTCCCCATCCTCCAGGATGGGCTGGAGCATTGAGGACAGAATGAGCCCTCACTCTGCCTAAACTGGGCTGGCCACCTCCACTCCCCCCAGAAGCCACGCTGGGGGAAATGTCAGACCCTCTGGTGCCAGGTGCAGAACCCCCTCGAGGTGAGGCCCTCCGGTGGCCGAGCCCAGGAGACGGTGACATGGTGGCTGCATGGCGGCCTCTCTGTCCTTCCCTTTCTCAGAAGCCCTGGCTCCTACAGCTCATAAGCACTGGATTTCTGTTCACTGCACTAAGTACCAAGCCACTTTACTTTTAATCCCTTAATAAACCATAAGTTTTTTCTCCCTCCGCGCAGAGTAGGCAGAACGGGACCCTGGAAGACAGCCGAGGCCCGGTATCACTGAGCCTGTCTCCTCCGCCGTTTCCTCGGGTGCCTGAGTAGAGACGCAGGGGACACGCGGGTCCAGAGGCCGCCAGCCCGGGCAGCGCGG